TGCAAGGGGATGCAGAAAGGTGAGAGAGTGTATCAGCAATAGAGCTACAAAACCATGTGGTTTTCCGGGCTTTTTCTTCCCCATGAAGAGTTAAAATAGACCTTTTCTACCTGCCTTTCCATCAACATTACATTTACTGAGGTGACTAATAATTTACAGTATGAGGCATGAACAAGGTGGAGTTGGTGGGAAAATTACTAATCTATTGAAGAGCTCCCACTGTCTTCCAACAGGGAAAGAATTTCATTCTGCTTGTGCTGGTTGCATGAGATTTGATGGGAACTTTGCTTTTAGGGCAGCATGGAATAAAGACCGACTACATAGTTACTGGACAAATTAAAAAACACACAGCAATTGCAATAGAAGACTTTGAAGACTCCTGGAACAAGCATTCAGGATAAGTTCATTGAAACACAAAGGAAAATTCCCTGCATTTCTTGTCCCCACAGAAAAATTTTGGGAAATGTAAAATAAAAAATAACCTAACTCGTATTCTGAGATTGGAAACACCAAGCAATTATGTGTTTGGGTTTTTTTTTTCTGGAATCTCGGTGCTAAAGCTTTCTTTCCTTTGCCTCAGAAATTTCCTTAAACACAGGAGTCAGTCCAGCCTGTGCCCACCCAGTTGTTTTAAGCATGATTTTTCTGTGTCGTCCCTTCTTAAAATCCTCAGGCTGTACTTATATAAAGTATAGGATCGTGATGGGCAGAGATTGTTTGCAGATGGTAAGGAGATGACAACACAAAATAGTTTCACAGGCCACACAGTAGTGAAACTTAACCCTATTCTGTGGCTTCTCAGCATCCAGCCAGCTTTCTTCAAAGGAAAGGACAGGCTGTTGTCCAATTAATTTCAATTTTAGCTTCTGTGCCCCAATTCTGAAAATATATATTCACTTAATGACAACAGAACATCTCCTTCCTTCTAAATCTAGATTTAGTCAAACCTCTCAAAACGTGAAGATACAGAGCACATCCGTGCAGCTCCAGGGCTGGTGACACTGTATCAGGAAAGGAATTAATCCCCTAAAACCCGAAATTAGGCTGGAGAGCACCCCTTTGAGCTTTAGACCACAAAAGGAAGGTGTAAGAACCCTCACAAGTTCCAGTTCTTCAAAGGATCCAAGCTGTGCCTGCAAAATGCCAGAAATTGTTGTTCATATTGTCAAATGGTGGCCAGAGGAACAGAGGACTTGTTATGTTTTAGAATCTCTACCTTTGGTGCACACAACCTGGGAAATATGAGGCTCACAGGCCACTTTGCAGGGAAGTCTTAGGAGACTTTGCCTAAAGCCACAGGTCCCAAAGTCATGTGATTATTTTTAAAAAGATCTGTATGTCCTGATTCACAGCCTCCTGATTTAATTCATGTTTCCTATTAATTTCTTATTCATTCCTATTAATTTAATTCATATTTCATATTTAATTCATATTCATATTAAATTAATATTTCCGTCATTTTTTCTATTTGTTCATATCTGTTTATTTTTGCTCATGTTTATTTCAGCTAGATTTTTTTTCCTTTTTTTTTTTCTTCTCCCTGTTTATTATATCTTCGAGTTTGTTTTTTTTCTTTCATTTATCTAGTATTGGCAATATTATTCACTTGATGATGGTGTTTCCCCAACATGTCTGCCCAAATGGCTCTTCTTCATTCTTCAGTGCTTCTTTGCTCTCTCAAATTCAGGAGAAAACTCCTACTGGATGGCAGTGGAGGAGGGATGCTGAGGTCAGGCCAAGCACATCACACAGGCTGGTCACTTCACAGTAAACATCCACAAGCAGATGTGGAAGAGGGAGAGGTTGAGCATCCCACCCCTGGCCACAGGCTTAGCACATGGAGGCTCTGCCTTCACCATAAATCCCACTCCTTTTACTCTGTTTGCCTGAATATTACAGAAACAAAAACCACCTAAGTTTTGCAGTAGCATTCCAATGCAACAAATAACTGAGTTGGGATTTAAATCATATTTCGGTAGGTTGCAAAAACAGGCACTCCCATGTCCTTACAATGACTTTTCACCAGCTCCAGTTAATTCTGACAAAATGTTTTGATCCTGTACTTACCTTTTAGGGCTTTGTTCTCCTTAAATCTCACCGGATTGTTTCACAGAAGAAACATGCCAGGATTTGCCTATCCAGTAGGCAGGAAAGCTTGTTCTGGGATTGTGACACTCAACAGTGCACATTTTGTATGCCTGCTGACACCACCAATCCAGATCAGAGGCTTTATAATCACACTCTTTGCACCATCACAATCACACCCAGGAAAACACCATCATAAAGTCAGGAATGCAGCCAAATTCAGGGAAGGAATAAAAGCAAGGCAGGCAAATGTAGGTCAAGGTGAGTTTATTGTCCATACAGCATACCTAATCCCGCCAAAACACTTGTCTTAGAACCATCTTTAAACTAGTCAAAACAACAGGTTATTAATAAAAATGACAACACTGAACAAAGACCTTTTAAAAGGTAATCAAGACTACACCGTATCAGAGTCTTATCCATTGAAAACAACCTTGTGTACTTTCTAAATACTTTTTGTTTACCCTGATGTCTACTACCACACTTTCTAGCATCCCCTGACCACATAAACATCCACACCTCTTAAAGAGCACATTTGTGAGAGAATAACATTGACTTGATATGGCATCACACTCAATAAAGCCAAAAAAAAAAAAAAAAAAAAAACAACCAACAAAAAAAAAACCAAACCAAAAAAAAACCCAAAGAAGTTTGAGAACAGAAACTGTGCAACCGAGACTGATTTCTGAGGTACATGAGAACATGGTAATAAACATAGTGGAAAAAATCCAGTGGCCAGGTGGCTTGCTGAGTAATGAAGAGCCATCCGATGACTCAAGCACAAATCATTGACATTGACATGGGATTAATCATTCTTCTCTTTCACAAGCATGTTGGAAATACAAATAAATACACTATGAGGTGCTCCTACACTACAGGAACGGGAGGGAGGGGAAAATCATCACAAAGTACCATCAATAGGAAGCTGAGAGAGAAATGCTTTTAGCAATTCTGCCAATCCTTTGGCACCTGGGAAGGCATAATCAGCACCACCTTATTTTTTTTTAATCAATCCATTGGAAGGCTTAGGATTTCTGCAATTCGGGGGGAGGGGGATGCTCACACCTCATTTGCAATAACAGGGCACTCCCTTTAACATCTGTTAGAAGAGAGCGCTAGGCAGTAATTTTATTTTGGAAGCTACTCTGAAAACACTCAAGTTCTAGGTTTTCCAGACTTTAAACATACAGTAACCAGGTGGTCCCTGTGAGGGACTGGGGCCAGCACAGGCCTTCCAGGTCCCTGTCAGGGACTGGGAATGCTGAACGGTGCTGCTCCTTCCAGCACAACCAGATCTGACCTTGGCGGTGGCCCTCAGCCCCTTTCTTGGGGTGTGATCCTGCCGGGATCAACCCTGGGATCCCACGGGACCAGGGCATGCAGGAGATGAAGAGCAGGGGCAGGTACCCTAAATATTAGTGCTGCCAACACTTGACCTCCAGCACAGAGGGGAGCAAACCATAGAAACATGATGAACATGGTGCCAGCGCTCATGCCATGACAGAGAGGCCATCCCACCATCTGGGACCCTCTGGCACATGCAACCGCATTTGCTGTCTGGGAATGGTGTGATCTGTCACATACGAGCTGCGTGGAGTCTGGCTTCAACAACATTAACTATTTTTTTCCTCCAGGAGAGACACTGTCGCTGAACTCCAGGCGCTCCCAGCGCGGAACATCAAGGCAGGAGGTGAGGACAAGGCTGTGCCCACCTGTGACTTTGGGAGAGATGGACCAGCCAGTGGAGAGTCAATGCATTTTTTCCACTATGACAAGAATACCAAAGATAAAAAAGGAGCCAGTGCCCCGCCTTGGCTGCTTGCAACCCCTCTCCAGTGCGGACAGAGCGCGGGCCCCGGGGCGAAACCGAACTGTCACTGTGTGAGGTATTGTGAAAATGGGAACCATTTGTTTTGTCCAGCAAACCTGAGGTAAGTATACCGTCTTTGCAGGATGTGATAAGGAAGGAAAGGGAAAAGAAAAAAAAAAAAAGGAAAAAAAAAAATAAAAAAAAAATAATCATGAACACGCTATTAGGAAAAAAAAAAAAACGACTGTACAGGGCATTTCCAGTAAATCAAAAGAACTCATCATATCTCCACTTAACCATCTACTTCAGGATTTGAAATTTAAGCAGTAAAATAATATATTATAAAAATGTTTATAAAATAGCAGCACACTCAGTGAAACAATACAGCTAAGTACTGTTAATGTGAATAAGAATGAAACAAATCATAGCTTCTTAGCAGCGCAAAAAAAAAAAAACAAAACCAAAAAACCCCCCAAAACCAAAAAAATCCCAACAAAACCTTAGAATCTTACTCCATTTTTCTACCCTCATCTAGCCAAATATGGCTAAGTCCATACATATAATTTTCTTCGAAGTAGCATGTTCTTTCTGGATTTTTTTCTTAAAAATGCAAACATTAACATTTCAAACCAACAGCTTCATATTGGATATCTGCAAACTGTTAATACATTTGTGCAAAAAAAAAAAAAAACAAGTTGCTCCAACTCCTTTTGCCATCTAAATGCCTCTTTGTTACAGGTGGAGCAGGAAAATAAATTCAAGTACACTGAATACACCTTTGTAATAAAACTCCAAGTCACACACCTCGATGTTTCCCATCATGTCTGTTGCACCAGGAATGTTCTTGCCTTGTCCACAGATGAGCATGAAGGTGGTTATTAAGATCCTTCTGTGACACTGAACAATACAGATGGTCAGGCTTTTTTCCGGAATGTCATGACAGGAATGTCATCTGAAGTGGGTATTGGTATTTCCAGCAACACCTCAACTAACCAAGTACACCAAATACTGGAAAATATTGACTATAAAAAGCTATAGGCCTTGTTTTTGTGTCTTCTTTCTCTTTTTTTTCCTTTTTTTTCTTTTTTTTTTCTGGTTTTTTTTTTTTTCCTCCTCGGCAAAATTGTCATAAACCATCTCATTTAATCCCTTAGGAACAATTTTCAAAGTGCTTTTCGAATGAAATGGTTTACAAAAAATGCTCACTGTGGATCAATAAAGTTAATGAAATGCTGAAAAAGTGTGCGGGGGTGGTGGGGGAAGATGGGAAGGTAGACGAGGGATCAAACCAAATCTCATCTTCTTTAACACAGTGAGGTTTATGTCAAAAAGGAAGATGGACAGAGCATCATTTAAATGTCTTGATGGCCAGGCTAAGAAGCTGCCAGAAGTTAACATTGATGTGAAGTATTAGCACTGGAAAGGAATATAATGCTTTTCATAGATGATCCACCACATCTTGCAATCCAAAGGCTGGAGGTGGTCTAATTAGAGACAACCACTTGGGATTAATTCATGCATTTCCCCCACTGAACATCGACACTTGGTAACTTTGGCTTGGCCCACAGCTGGGTAAACAGAATTGCCCTTATGCCAAAGACGCTGCTGTGTTTAGAATGAACCATTTCTGAAGGAGAAGTAGAAAAAAGTCAAGAAGGGAGAGGGGAAGTCGAGAAAAAAAGAAAAAAGAAAAATAAATCAACTAAAAATAAAAACCAAAAAACACCTGCTCTTCTGGCTGGTAAAATAAAGCATCTTCTTTCTTAGGTAGCAGCTACCACAGACAGCAAGAGTAAACAAAACTAACATACAGAGATCCAACAAACACTTCTGACTAATAACAGAGGTGACAGATCAGCAAATCTCTTCTGCATTCAAAATGGTTCAATTGCTTTGGGGATCTTTTCCCACTTTGCCCTAAACCCCTTATTCTATTGCTTTGCAATCTAGTCAAGCCATAAAATCGCACACACGATTCCTTTCTTAAATCTAAAAAAGGGGTGTATGCACTAGGTCATAATACACAGACAAGTATACTCTACTTTCTTCCCACAAATGCAGGCTTACATTGATCTAGCTACTTTGTATGCTTTTATAAGCATTTAATATCACTGATACATAATCAAATAGCAATTACCAAATATATTGTGGGATTCCCTTCTGTAGAACATCACAGGCACCAAATGCTTTTTTTTCATTATTCAGTTTTTGTTTTGTCTTTTTTTTTGTTGTTGTTGTTTCTTTGTTTGTTTTTTTTTTTTGCCTAAAAGAGGTTTAAATATGCTCTATGTGGGAGCAGATTAAAAAAAAAAAAAATTCACTCTAAAAATAATAACAAAAATAAACTGGGCTGGGAGGAGCAAGCGTGACTTTGCGTGGTGATGTCCTCACAGGTTGATATCCCTCACATCTGTGGGAGTGCTGGCCTGGTCCAGTTCATCCACCGTCTTGGAAGGATTGCTTTGCTGCTGCTGCTGCCGGACTTGCCGAAGGCTGTTTACTAGCACCGCTTCGATCTGTTCCTGACAAGCTTTAAGGCAGTCCTAGACAGAAAGCAAATTGATGTGTTAGTGGAGACAAGGTAGGGATTTTTTCTTTACAGGGTTTTTTTCCTTACTGGGCACTAGTCAGAACTAGGTGTTCCCCAAGGAGCGTCTGCTCTGATGCAAAATGACCCTGAATTCTCACGGGCAACCTCTGTGTACAAACTGCTTGGGTTAAATAGTGCTAATGCCATATTTATTAGACTCTAAATCTTAATATTTTACTGGTCCTTGCTCAACAGGTTGCCCGGAGAAGCTGCAGATGTCCATCACTGGAAGTGTTCAAGGCCAGACTGGGATGGGCTCTGAGCAACCAGGGATAGTGGAAGGTGTCCCTGCCTATGGTAGGGGGTTGGAACTGGGTCACCTTCAAGATCCCTTCCAACCCAGGCCATTCTATGATTCTGTGATTTGTGTGGTCTTCTTGAGCAGGAAAAAAAGCAAGGAAATGAAGGGTATATGATTTTTTTCATTTTCCTATGCAGGGTTAAGTTATTTGAGAGGGAGCAGAGCCTGACCCCCACTTGGCTACAACCTCCTTTCATGGAGTTGTAGAGAGTGAGAAGGTCTCCCCTGAGCGTCCTTTTCTGCAGGTTAAACACTCCCAGCTCCCTCAGATGCTCCTCATAAGACTTACTCTCCAAACCCTTCCCCAGCTCTGTTGCCCTTCTCTGGACACAGTGGTACTGGCTCCTCCAGTGCCCAGTACAGAAGGGCAATCCCTGTCCTGGTCCTGCTGGCCACACTGCTGCTGATAGAATTTGTTTTCTGAGCACATTCTAGAGAAGAAAAGTGATTTCAGCAGCAAAGGAGGAGGAAATGTAGGGTGTGCTCTTCACTCTGAGAGCAGGACTATTTTAACAGCCCTAGGAATAGTTATTGGCAATAATTCATAGAAGACAATAAAGCAAAGACTAGATACTAGAAAAATATGTAAGTCAAAAACACACAGCCAAGCCTCAGAAGCCACTGTATTTCAAACTATACTACATAACACTCAGAGAAACAGCAGGATACACAAATGTGGGAACCTTGAGCATCAGGAGTCCGACAATAAACATGAGGCATAAATACAGAAATAATTGAGAAGGATTCACCACACTTAAACTTGACACAGAATTAAGAAGATAACTATTAAAATATTTACGGGATGTTCCATATTCTTGATGACACGCTGGAAGACCAAATAATATGGTTTTAAAAAAAAAAAAAAGGCATGAGAAAACATTGACAAACAATTATAGCAGAAATTGAAAAATAAAACCCAAGCTGTGACTGTATAAACACAATTACATGCGGTGGGCTGGGAGTATCAATATGACACTGTGAAGGTTGCCACGTGGTGCTGTGATAAATGGCATTTTCTAAAAGCAGTCCTTCTACAACACTGGAAAAGGTACTAACACTGCAAAAACTTCCTGCAATCTCAGTCTGCCTGAGAGCTGGGACTCTCCCAAAAACTTCAGAGAGCAGAGAAACACAGGTTTTGGAAGGAGGATTTTTACAGCACAGCCCTGGCAGGGGCAGTGAGACTCAGCATCACCATTGCCACTTTCAGGCAGAGGAGCTGAAGAGCAGAGCTGGGCACTGAGCTCCACAGGATTCCATAGGTGCTTAGGAATCCTCTGTGGGATGCCACAGCATCGCTGGGGAGATGGGCTCTGACCAACACCCCCCACTTTCCCAATGCAACATCAGGTTATTTTGGAGATGTTCGACATATTCATGTATGGAGGTTTGATTTGTCTGGGGAAACATGCCAAGGGAGGAGGATCTCTTCTGCTGATTACACTGATGCTTGTGATGGGTGCAATTAGCTTGTGAACACCCATTTTTCTTGGCTCCTGTCCTCTCCTTGTCCTAAAACTGGCAAAAGCTACCAGAAACTCAGCTAAAAAAAAAATCCTCTGTTATTAGCATGGGCAGGTTTTAAGTCCATCATAACCTGTAAGAGGGCAATGGCAAAAAATCACTTCATGAGTCAAGACATTTTTCAGTGTGGGGGCACCCGTTTGAGACTCTTGTAACAGACTACACTCCTAATGCACTTTTTTTTTTTGTTATAAGAATCCTTTCTTTTAAAGCACAGTGGTGCACAATTTCAAAATATTTTGTCCTCCTGAAAACAAGCCAGATTTTTTTAAAGCAGCTTCAGACTGAAAAGCTTAATGAGGCAATTTCCTTGCAGCCAGGCCTGGGGAAGGAAGGGTGGTGACAGGAGGAACATAAGGCTTGAGCATTTGGAGTCCGCTTTGTCAGTTCCTAAACACCCTTAGATATGATCATTTACACCATTACTATACAAACTTCTGATGGGCAACATGATGATTCATTTAATGTATGAAGATGCTAAAATCTCTAGGTAGCCCTATGGAGAAATCGGGTCATTTCTTATGTCTTCATTTTGTACATAAAGTCAATTAAGGGGCCTCGACTGGAATTGCCACATGGATTTTATTTCATATGGGAATCCACAGGCCACTGTGTATTATTTCTCTGGTCTATACTTTTGTTTTGAACCTAAAATAATGTACCACTGAACTCTTTAAAACAATGAAACTTATGGTAAAATGACCAGCACACTGCATTCAGCATGAAATAGCTTCCCAAAAAAGTGTTTCCATTTGCATACTAAAGCTCCTTGGATATTAATCTCACAGGTGAAAGGAAAAAAACCCCTAATTTACAGTATATTACCAGCCCAGTTGTCATAGTGTGATAAGGTAAGTGGCTTTATGTTATGAATGGGGGCACCACTGGAACTTTCTGTCAATTCAAAGTTCAGTGACATACAAAATACAAAAAAGCCATCAGGACAAACAACCTGGCATTCCCATGACACAGTTTTTTTAACCCTTCCTAGTTTCATGGGGATCTGCTGTATGTGTACATATTTTACTAGTGGGCTTTCATTTTGCTCTAGATCGCCCTGACAAGAGAAAATTAAAGCTTTACAAATTTATCAAAGAAATAAAACATGAATTGCATTGTTTTCAGCAAATCTTCCTTGAAAGAACACTGTAATGCACTGCAGCAGTGGCCCCAGATTTTCCAATAAAGGGACTGGGCCATTCCTTCAGAATACTGCAGGGTTGCCTTTGTTGTTTTTTATAAAAAACTTTAAGTGTGTGTCATATGGATTAACTTCCCCATTCTTCTATATGGTCTAGTAGTTTTAATGATTAAAATAGTTCTGGTACTTTCCATTCCATAGTTTTATTTTTACTTCAGCATGTACAGAACTAAAAAGGCAATTAACTTTTGGGATTTTTTTTTTTTATTATTTTCTGAAACTCTTTCATCCCTAGGTGATTTTACTAGCACACCTGAAATGTATTTGAAGGAAAAGAAAAGCTTTTCTGTGTCTGATGAGGGATAGCTTCATGGCTGTGATGGAAATGCTGGCAGTGAAAATAACTGGAAGGAGGAATCAGCAGCTCTATGGCATGATCTACTTATTCAAGTCAATAAGAATTGAAGATTTCAATTTCCATTCATGACAATCTTGAAAGAAAGCACAACCACTAGGAAAGATCCTGCAGCATATTCTACATAATTAGTTTTCCTGAACTTTTCTACACCTCTGTAAGTCCTATACTGGCCCCTAGCTTTCAGTTTTAAAGTGGAATTTACAGTTCACCGGCAAGCTATGAGGGAAAGCCACTCTGAGTTAACTAACAGGCTCTTGCTTTGCACTGGCAATTACTGGGATTTTCAGTCACGATGGCTCCAAGCTCCAGGAGCAGCCTGTGACCCATATCCTCTCCATCTTGCAAAATCATGGCTGGACTGATAAATTAAAATGAAAAAAAAAAAAAGGAAAAATAAAGGGGAGGATATTGAAGAGGCATTTTATAGTTGGTTTAGGAACTTGGCTTGGGTTTCTGCCATAGACTTTATCCGGCTGGTTTCAAGTCTTCCTTGGCCCCCCCACCCAAATAGTCCCCTTTGGATGATGGTACTCCCTGCATCAGATCCCACCCCACCTGAGCAGCAGTGTGCTTCTCCACAAAGATCACTCAAATGCCAATAGTGGAGGGCTATCACAAGAAGGTAAACCATTTCAGTCATGCCTCTTCTACCTCCTTCCTTCTGAATCTGTCCACAGCTTCCATGAGCATACAGGGACTGCAGCTGTGTATTTACTACACCTACTCCCACCTCCCTGCTCCAACAGGGTCATCCCAAGCACATGGCACAGGATTGTGTCCAGACAGCTCTGGAATATCCCCAGGGAGGGAGACTCCACACCCTCTCTGGGCAATCTGTTCAGTGCTCGGTCACTGCACAGCAAAGAAGTTCTTCCCCATGTCCAGCTGGAACTTCCTGGGCATCAGTTCCTGCCCGTGGCCTCTTGTGCCATTGCTGGGCACCCCCGAGCAGAGCCTGGTCCATCCTCTGCCCCCTCCCTGCACACACTGACACACATGGATGAGGTCCCCTCTCAGTGTCTCCTCTGGAGGCTGAACAGCCCCAGCTCCCTCAGCCTTTCCTCCTCAGAGAGATGTTCCAGTCCCTGAATCATCTCTGCAGCCTCTGCTGGACCTGCTCCCGGAACTCCATGTCCCTTCTGTCCTGAGGAGCCCAGGACTGGACACAGCACTCCAGATGTGCCTCACAGGGCTGAGTAGAGGGAGAGGGGCAGGATCACCCCTCTCGACCTGCTAGGAATGCTCTTTCCAATGCACCCCAGGATCCATTAGGTGCTCCCTGACTCTGGCCAGCAGGAAGACATGCCTTACAGAAGGAATGAACTCAGCTCTGGTCTGTTCCACAGTGCCTCAGGACACAGTGCTTTTTGTATTGTGATTTTTAGATTCCCCTTTAACACCTCAGTTTGGGTCTTGCCTGAGAGAAGAAATAAAAAAACTTACCCCAGAAAGCACCTTAACCTTTGTCTGCTTATTAGAAACTAAATTTAGGGAAACATCTGGGTACATGGAAACTGGTCTGAACCTTGCAGCAATGCAGCCTTTGCCCACCCAAGATGGCACTCATTT